CTAGGATAGCATTAAATGTGAAATCATATATTCCCCTGTTTTCTGGTTCTCACTGTATAACCAAGATGTCTAGGATAGCATTAAATGTGAAATCATATATTCCCCTGTTTTCTGGTTCTCACTGTATAACCAAGATGTCTAGGATAGAATTAAATGTGAAATCATATCTATTGGAAGAGGGAATATGATGGTAGAGTTCTTCTCAGCACTGATATTGTTCAGGGTCTAAACATATAATATAATTTATTTAAATATAATATATTTTATTTATATAAAGAGACTATAGACTATAGAGACTATATGGGCCCGATCGGTTTTGCCGTTTTGACGTTTATTGGATACAAACAGACAGACAAACAAACAGACAAGCCAAATTTATAGAAGAGACTATAGACAACATTTTAAGTAACCCTCCATTTATAGAGTGGCATGTCAGATTTACAATGGTTACATTTAACCGTCTTCTGATATAGCATACATTAGATATCCATTTTATTCACAATAATTTCCTTTCTTGGTTTACGGATTTATGCAGTAGAGACGATTAGAAACAAAATTGTCAAAATTTAACACATGTCCAGCGTTATCTTCTTTATTGATAATTATATAAAGGTTTTAATGGATTTAAATTTAAATTGGGGGTTCACTGAGAATATTGTTTACAGGATCTTTAATAAACTTGATTGAATGATAAATCAATCAATCAAGTTGTAATTAAACTATAAACTAAACATGGTGTTTGTTGAAAAATAAACTCATGCAGGTATTAATTGTATTAGTATTATAAGGGTTAATCCTGATTTGGATATTTTTGTCTAATATTTCCAGGCCAGCTCATTATATAATTGATTTCTACCTTTATTGGTTAGGGTGCTAGGTAGGTTTTAAAAAATATTTAAAAATATATATGTCAGGAAAATGTAGAAAACTTTTGACCAATATTTTACTTACATCAATTTTTCAAGGACTTTTAAATACATAGTTTTAGATCTGTAGCTTAATCAATAAAAAAGTTATTTTGATTTTATAAAACAAAGATTATAACAAACAATGAAGTTTAAAAAGTGAAGAAGTTTGAGCACTTAGTATAAGCCGTTATTAAGCCATGCAAAATACAAAATGTTTCATTAAATTATGCTTTTTACATATCTCAAAAGTTCTAATATTCATTAAACCAAAGGAATTGAGTCACAAACTCGAATTTTCTAATCCTCAAATCTTTGCAACCAAATGATGTAGAAATTTCAAACTTTGAATTCTGCAGATCGAATAATCTAAAATTGAAAAATTTAACACCACAAGGTTGCAAAGATAAAGGGATTAGAAAATTTTAGTTTATGACAAAGATTCAATTCACAGAAGATTTCATGCATTAATTTCAAAGTCCTAAGGTTATTTTTAAACTATGACAAAAAAAAAACATTTAAATAGTTCATGCAAATATAGTAATATGTACTCAATTAGTTTAAAGTGAAAAAAGTCTGAATAAAAGTCAAATTAGCAGAATAAATTTGTTTTGATGTTTGTAAAAGTTTGAACCTTAATCAATGTCTGATAAGCTTCTGTAGGATATCTATAGGAAGCGGGAAGATAACAGTTGAATTATGCTCCGCACTGATAGAATTTAGCGTCTAGAAACATACACTGTTAGAAATTATATCCTTGAAATATGAAATATGACTTTTTGAAAATTTCAAAAGTTTTTCTAATCAAAGAAATATTTGATAGGGTCTCAGAAAACAATACAATGACGACTTTAGTTCTGTCATTTTCAAATCAGTTAAAAATTATTTGACAAACACATTAAACAATTAACTTTATATGTACAACAATGACATCTTTTTATGTACACCAGAGTACAGCAGAAAATGGCCTATATACTGTCAAACATGTTAAAGAAAAATATGGTACATTGCATAGGTTAAAAATCAACTATAAATTGTAAATTTTAAACCGCAATGAGAAAAAATGTACAGTGAAAACATATTAATAGTTTACAGGAACAAACACATTTGTATGATGCATGTAAAATCCTGTTCAGACACCTTTTTAACTAAAGATGCTGCATAGTTCTTAAAATATACATTTTACAAGGGTTTAAGAATATATTTAAAATTCCCTAGGCTCAAGAAAAGTATGTTTAATATTCTTTTCAGGATTCTACTATTTCAAACGTTAGCAGGACAGATGCATATACATATGGTTGTAAACAGTACAAACCAAGAAATATATAAATATATATTTCTCAGGTTGTATATTTAGGAATTCAAGAAATTCGAGAATCTGTTTTTTATGTTAATCAATGACGACAATTTTCCCAATGGCTATTTCTCAAGCAGAAAATTGCCTAGTGTATTTTCCAAGAGGCAACTTCCCTAGTATATATTCTGGCCGCAGCACTTGAACATTTGGGAAGTTGCCACTTGGGAAATTGTCACTTGGAAAGTCGCTCTAGGGAAAATCTTAAAATGTTTCTCTTCATATAATGCGGCACTCTTAGCTCAACTACCATGTCTAACCGGTCACTCCCTTTAAAAGATTTTGAATATCTAGAAAAGTTCTTTTTGAAAAAGAAATATCAAATATTTAAAAATAGTCTGTTATTAAATATTGGAAAATTCCACTTAAAATTGAGAAATGTGTTCTAAGTGTTTTTGCATAAAATGAATACTGTGAAAGAATATGGTGGTCAGACTTCTCTGATTTGCATCCCTGAAGGGAAACTAGGACTGTGCAACGTTCTTCGTAAAAAAAGCAGTGTTTAAAGATTTCAATAAAAAACGAAATCCTGTTTATTTTACAGTTTTTTAATAAATTCTTCAAACTGTTTATTTTTATTTGCGGTTTCTCTGGTAAAGTGATAAAGTGATTGAGAAGTCTGAGAAACACTTTTTCAGTCAGGAAATTATGTTGTCAAGGGTAATGTTGTACATCGGGCATTGCCATCTTTGCATGCAGAGCCCCTTAAAATTACACAGACAGCCTCTTTAATGAAGAAAAAGAATAGAGAATTCAGTTATTAGTTTCAAATGAACGGCTCATGGATATGGTGTGCCGTGTGCGATTCATTAATTTAGCAAAACTTAAATGAATGGGTTGAAAAAAGTCCTAGTGTGCCCAGCCCTAAGGTAAATTATATGAAAAATTGAATAAATTTCTTTTCTTTTTTCATCCTTGCCTTTATTCAATGCAAGAACTCTAAGAAAGAAAATAAAATTCTGCACCATATTTCACATTTTATTTTATTGAAAATAGAATTATGACTGGTTAGGGTTGAAGGGACTGCAGATGATACAGATAGGGACGATTCACAACAGTAACCTTTAAACATCTGTCTGAGCAAGATCCTTGTTTTTTATCTGAAATTTGATTATCTTCAATTGCAGGTTTTCTACAATGTAATATTTGGATTTATTTAGTTAAGGGGACTATTGTGAATCGATAGATAAAAGGTATCTTGAGGTTTCCCGAACAGTAAAGATGGGCGCGTTTGAATTTGTTTCATTTAGTTTGTTCATTGTTAATGAACGACAGTTTCTGTTCGTTTTTTTCAATCATTAAAAAAAAAATTTTGTTCGTTCTCAAAAGTATTGTTAATTTTCCTTTAATTTCGTCTGTTTTCTCACTGAAAGATTGTGAAGTAAAATAAAGGCTCGTTTTTTTGCTATTTTATCTGAACAACATCTTCGTTCACTAAAAATTCCTTTCTTCCCAACAAAAATTTTGGTTTACAATAACAATGCCAATAGTCTGACTTTAGATGGCATCTGGTTAAATTTACATTCACAAAAGCGGTAATTTTGTATGTTTTTGCTCTAAAAGTCAACCCACTCAATTTATAACTTTAAAGCTAAGCTCAAATTATTTCATTGGCTCTACCAAGTTTTCTTTTCAAAATTTGAGTTATATCGGCGAATGTGTTTATATTTGAGTTATATCGGCGAATGTGTTTATGATCAGACAGAAAATCAAACAAACTAATAACACGCACCTCTGAGGCTCTGACCCTTTCGTAAAAGTAAATTCAACCAAAAGTCTGACCGTGTCAACCTAGTTACACCGGCTAGTCCTATTGAGTGTCTGCTTAATTTACCCAATGTCCGGGCGATACAGTACAAAATGGGACTGGAAAGGTTGACCAGGCTCGGAAATATAGTTGAGTGGAAAGATTTGTTCATTAAACATCGTAGAGAAAATAAATAAATAAAACTTTAGGAAGTTATTTCAAACTATTGATCCACTTGCTAATTGTTGTGGCTCTTGCATAATCTAATCCCATTTAAAGAAGTGTATTAACAGAACCCAGCTTACCTTAGCTCTAGCTTCTCTAGCTGCTTCAGCTTCAGCTGCCATAGCTCGTTGCAGCTGAACTGGAAGTCTCACGTCTTTTCTAGAAACAATATAAAAAGCTGTTTAAGCAATTCTGTTTAAAACTTTTATTTTAATATTCTTTTCTTCTTTATTCTTCTATTTTTTAGAAAACTTGAGAAAACTGTTGATCTTTTCATAAACTATGTTTTAGAAACTTTTTTATGGAAAAATAGAAAATTTTATGTTTTAATGTTAAATTCTTGAAAATAGGTAGCTTAAAATTAAATTACAATTGTTTTAGCTTTTTATATTAAAATATAAAATGTGTACGTTATAACTAAAAAATTTAATATTAAACATTTAATATTACAAGAAAAAAAGTTTGTATCTATCCCACAGTGGAGGGACAGCATTGGTAACCAGAAAACAAAGCTTCTTCCATGTTTTACAGAGATTTGTGTCAGATAACATTAACTCTATAGGACAAGAGCTCTTTGGATATTTATCCTCTATAAACAAAATTTACTCTCTATGATTGTAAATAATAACTCTGTTTAAATTTACCCACTTTGATTGTAAATAATAACTCTGTTTAAATTTACCCTCTATGATTGTAAATAATAACTCTGTTTAAATTTACCCTCTATGATTGTAAATAATAACTCTGTTTAAATTTACCCTCTATGATTGTAAATAATAACTCTGTTTAAATTTACCTTGATTGTAAATAATAACTCTGTAAATCATAACTCTGTTTAAATTTACCCTCTATGATCAAAAACAAAAACCCTGTTTAAATTTACCCTCTGTAATCAAAAACAAAAACTGTTTCTGAACTTACCCTCTATGATAAAAAACAAAAACTCTGTTTAATTTGATCTTTGATCAAAAACCTCTTTAATTAAAAAAATTCTCTTTAAATTTAGCCTCGATGATCAAAACAAAAACTCTGTTTAATTACCCTCTATGGCAAAAAACAAAAACTCTATTGAAATTTACCCTCTATGATCAAAAACAATAAAATCCATGGGAACCCTACTGGGAACTGAAAACTATTATACAAATTGAATGTTTTATTTTATTTATTTTATTTACAACAATTTTTACAAAATGTGTTTTATTCTTATTGCTTGAACCTTCCCGTAAAGTACTTTTAAGATAGAATTTCCAATAATAAAAATATAATAAAATTCTAAAGCTTTCTTAATTTTATAAATGGTTTTTAGTAATTAATAGTAACATAATTTGTCTTTTCTTCTTCTCTGACATAGTTTAGAATAAAAAGATAAATTAGTAATAAAAAGTATAACATAGGAGAAACATGTGCGAGTACAAACCGAAATCAACGTTGATTTAAACAAGACTAACGGATTTGAGTTTTTGTCACGAACTCTGGTGTTCTAATCCATAAATTCTTTTAGATCAAATAATCTTAATTTAACATTTTTAAGGTTTGCGCCAAACGGTTACAAAGATATATGAATTAGAAAATTTAAGTGTGTGGCAACAAAAAATCCGCAAAATATTATCAATACAAATATGCAACAAACCTGAAACATAAACATTGCTAAAAATAAGTAAAAGTTTGATGGTTTTATGTGTGTCAACAAATCTATAATTCTACAAGTCATGCTTCCTACAACATTTAGTTAGAAGAAAAAACCGCAACAGATAAAAATCCAAAAAAATCAGAAATAGTCGTCTTTGCTATTTTAAACCCTCGAAATCCGCAAAAATATTGCAAGAAACTATTTTTCTATGATACATTAAATACAAATAAATAATTTAATTTATAAACAACTACATAAAGGCTACAGTTAGGGCAACTCAAATAAAAATACAGTTTTGGAAAATAATTATACCGTTTTACAGTTAGGGGGACTCAAATAATTATTACACTTTTGAAAATAATAAAAACAATAACAGTTAGGGTATTTTAAAAAACTGCTACAGTTTTGATAAAAAACAAAAATCAGCAACAGTTAGAGAAACTTAAAAAAGTACTAGTTTTGGTATGAATTAAAACAATTACAATTAGGGCAAATTAGAAAACTAGTTTGGGTGGGAAAATAAAACATTAACAGTTAGGGCAACTATTTAAAACGTTCTCTACAGTTTTGGAAAAAAATTGAAATGTTCTACAGTTAGGGCACCTTAAAAACTACTACAGTACTACAGTTTGGTGAAAAATAAAAACATTAACAGTTGCAACTTACATTTCGACCCGTTCTACTTTAATCCCCCAAGGTTCAGTGGCTTCATCAAGTGCTGCCTTTAATGCAAAAAATAAATACTTTTATATAATTAATTTTTAGGTCAATTTTTTTAATCAATTATTTTGGATCAATTTTTCATATCAATTATGAGAATAAATTTTCATAATTTTTTTAAATAATTTGTACCTGCATAGAACCAGATATACTCTCTCTAAAAGTTTCATCATTAAAATAAATCTGTACTCTTCAAAGTGAAAAATTCCAGAGTTTTATATTTTAAATTTAAACATTTTAAGCTGGCCAAGGCTGTTATTAAATATCTTATTCTTTATAGTCAAAGAATATGTTCGCAATTATACAAAAATGTTAAAATTCAATTCAAAGTCAATTCTAGATACATGTTTACGCCATTAAATGATTCCACATGGATAATGGATAAAAGTATCACCTTAATTGATTTACCATATAATTTCCTTATTAAATAATATTTTTGATTGATTGATTGAAATATTATTATATTAATTAATTAAATAATTAATTGGTTAATTGATTGGTTATTGGTCAATTAATTGATTAATTGGTTACATTATTGTAATTTTGGTCAATTGATTGATTGATTTGTTAATTGGTAAATTGAATAATTGATTGATTGATTAATGGGTTAAATTATTGATTAATTTGTTAATTTATTGAATGAATGGTTGATTGCTTGATTGATAAGTTGATTGATCAATTGGTCAATTGATTGCTTTTTTTGTAATTGATTAATTGATTAATTAGTTGATTGATTGCATAATTGGTTAATTGATTGATTGATTGGTCAATTAATTGATTAATTGATTGATTGATTGGTGAATAAATTGATAATTGCTTGATTAATTATTTGATTGCTTGATTAATTATTTGATTGGTTATTTGATTGGTTGATTTATTTATTATTTGGTTAATTGGTTGATTAATTTATTTATTATTTGGTTAATTCATTGGTTGATTTATTTATTATTTGTTTAATTGATTGGTTGATTTATTTATTATTTGTTTAATTGATTGGTTGATTTATTTATTATTTGGTTAATTGATTTAATGATTTATTTATTAATTGGTTAATTGATTGGTTGATTTATTTATTATTTGGTTAATTGATTTAATGATTTATTTATTATTTGGTTAATTGATTGATTGATTTATTTAAAATTTGGTTAATTGATTGGTTGATTTATTTTTTATTTTGTTAATTAATTGGTTGATTTATTTATTATTTGGTTAATAAATTGGTTGATTTATTTATTATTTGTTTATTTGATTGATTGGTTGATTTATTTATTATTTGTTTAATTGGTTGATTGATTGATTAATGATGAGTTCCTATCGCTGAGAATTTCATGAAGGTTTTTAGTTCCCAGAATATTCCTTAGTGTTGTCTGTGCCAGTAGTCTGAATAAAGGGACTGTTAGTGTTATTATATTCCTTATGCTAGTAGTCTGAATAAAGGGACTGTTAGTGTTATTATATTCCTTAGTGTTGTCTGTGCCAGTAGTCTGAATAAAGGGACTGTTAGTGTTTTTATATTCCTTAGTGTTGTCTGTGCCAGTAGTCTGAATAAAGGGACTGTTAGCGTTATTATATTCCTTAGTGTTGTCTGTGCCAGCAGTCTGAATAAAGGGACTGTTAGCGTTATTATATTCCTTAGTGTTGTCTGTGCCAGCAGTCTGAATAAAAGGACTGTTAGCGTTATTATATTCCTTAGTGTTGTCTGTGCCAGCAGACTGAATAAAGGGACGGTTAGCGTTATTTCAAGTGAACTTCCATTTAAAGAGAGGCATCTCCAATTCACAATGGTACCTTTAAATCTTTGATAAGCCAAGGATTGAATATTAGTATTGATAAGAATATTCATATTTACCCCAAAACCAAAGAAAATTTTACAATTAAACGGAGGAGAAAACTTGAATTTGCACAGAAAAATCAAAGATTTAGATGATGAGCATGAAAATTTAAAAGATTGGACGATTGGTAATTTTTTTTAATCACTTACCCTCCAAATAAATGTTTTCACAGACAGTACTAAGGAGAAGTAAATTCTCCATTGAACCCCCCTCCTCGAATACTGAACGAACACTGATGCATCTATTATTGTTTATAAAATCCCCCAAATAGAACTGGTTTCAATATGTACACAAAGTATACAAAACAGCAATTGACTTTCCTTGCCTTACATTCATTGCTCATATATATATATATTATTTGAAAACTATGTTGGACATAGGGTTTCCGGGAAGAAATGTGACGTCATCCATGTTGAGTTCACACTAGTGTACGGCTTTTACATAGATTTTAAGAGATATACACACTAATTTCTCTGTCCTCATTTATCCGTCAAAGATTTAAAGGATATTGTTTTGAATCCGGATGTCCGTCTTTGCAAGAATGGTCATTTGAAATTACGCCTACAGTCCCTTTAAAGGTTAAGCAATCAGGGTCCAGGGAAGAAGAAATTGTGAAATTAATAATTGATCCTTAAATTTAAAAGTGCCCACATTGTACATCAAGATTAAGTGTAGAAAATTAATGAAATTCTACACAAACGTTTTTGACGTTTGCTCTACCAAATTTGTACCGGCCCAGCTGCAGCTGGAATAATTCGACTTCATGGTACATGCTTACCTTTTTACAATGTGTACACTAAACAATAATATAAAGATAAAACTTGGTTATACACAGAGCCATCCACTGGTGGGAAAAATTAAAGAAAATAGAACATATTTAATGGAAGGATGACAGGGAGTATTAAAATGATTCCCAACTCTAGTTATAGAAGTTGAGATCAAACATAATTTAGCTTGCTTCCCTTCTTAAACTAAACTGCAATAGTCAAACTTAATAAATCTTGACTACAGTGTTTAAGGTACAGGAAACTCAAGTTCATTTCATGTACAGTGCCGACTTTGAACCTACTAGAGCAAGTTGTACAGTACACAGACAATATAAAGCTGTACAGTACACAGACAATATAAAGCTGTACAGTACACAGAAAATATAAAGCTGTACAGTACACAGACAATATAAAGCTGTACAGTACACAGACAAGAAAAAGCTGTACAGTACAGACAATATAAAGCTGTACAGTAAAGACAATATAAAGCTGTACAGTACACAGACAATATAAAGCTGTACAGTACACAGTCAAGATAAAGCTGTACAGTACAGACAATATAAAGCTGTTCAGTACACAGACAACATAAAGCTGTACAGTACACAGACAATATAAAGCTGTACAGTACACAGACAATATAAAGCTGTACAGTACACAGACAATATAATCTAAAACGGAACAGTGCATGATTTAATGTGTTGCAATGATTACGGTACTTTACATATGCCGTAATTGGTATCGTATCATATATCATAATTTACAATTCCATACCATGTACTGTAAATGTAATCTGCACTACATATACCGTACCATACTGTAATCTTCACTACATATACCGTACCATACTGTAATCTGCACTACATATACCGTACCATACTGTAATCTGCCTACATATACCGTACCATACTGTAATCTGCCTACATATACCGTACCATACTGTAATCTGCACTACATATACCGTACTATACTGTAATCTGCCTTCATATACCGTACCATACTGTAATCTGCACTACATATACCGTACCATACTGTAATCTGCACTACATATTCCGTACCATACTGTAATCTGAACTACATATACCGTACCATACTGTAATCTGCACTACCTCTCGGCCCTGAAGTCACATTAATCTCTAGAAGGGGATGTTTTGTCTGGTGTACATGTCCTGTTTCACCGTTTATATAGGGTGTATTTTTACAGTACATTTTTCTAAAGCTGCTTAAAAGTCCCTTGTCCACATTAATTTCACTAGAATATGATGATTTATATGATGTACAACACTATTTAACTGTACATATGTGAGTATAATGAACAACTGTATCTAGCTGCTTAATAGTCCCTTGTCCACATTAATTTCACTAGAATATGATGATTTATGTGATTTACAAGACTATTTAACTGTACATATGTGAGTATAATGAACAACTTTATCTGCTGCTTAAAATCGGAAATGAAACAAGATTCCAATGAGCCTAGACCCGCCCCTGTGCGACGAATGCCGCTATACTTGAATTTAAGGTCAGCCTCTATACCCATTTCATTTTTCACGAACACTCCCTTTTATTTTCAAGCCAGCTTTTTCCTCAAATATTATCCGAGTCTGGAGAGAGGATTTTGTATTTGCTGAATAGAAAACACAACCTTTCATAAATTTAAATTAAGCTTCTTTATAAAGAAGACCATGCAGGGGTTAATATTTTCAAAATTTCAAAAATAATTATTTTGCCCAATTTCCTACAAATTTTTACAAAGCGTTTTAAAAATAAGGAGAAATCATATGGGTTGCAAATTTAAGATTTAATATTTCAGAGCTAAAAAACAGGTTTTTTATTAGAATTCTGAATTCAGACCTATTATATTGTAAATATGTGGATCCCCATCTAATCTACGGAACAAATTCAATTCCTTGTTGAAATCCGGCCCGTGATGGTCTTACTGCCCACATTAAATATCGAGATTAAGCAATACAGATTATCAATGTCCATTCAAAAGTTCCAATCTCTGATTCAATTCATCTACTTCGTTTAATTTCTTATCCCCTCCCTTTCCATAAAAAAGATATCCACCCTTAGAAAGAAAATTATCTGAATGGGGTTGATTATAAAGATCTAATAATTGGATTCGAAATTGGATTTAGGATTTGTTTTGATGAGAAATTGTTTTTAAGTTCTAAAACATTCCCGATTTTAACTGAACTTAATAAAAAAAGTTTTCATTTTTTCTTGAAAAATATTTTAAGTAAAGGAATTGAGTCTTTGCCACATACTTGGATTAGAAATCCCAATATATTTGCAACCATCGTAGACCTTAGATATTTTAAATATCAAAGATTATTCTTTCAGGTTGCAAAGATACAGGGATTAGAACATTTGAGTTTGTGGCAAAACCTCGAAATTCTTTTTGCTAATTTCTATGGTTTATTTTGTGTGAAAGGCTTTTGAGTTTTCCTAAAAGTCCAATAAGAAGACGACCTACACATATAGGCAGATGCGGCAAAAACTTTTTAATGAAGTACCCTGTACAGGGTCACCCACAAAAGATGAGACTATAAAGACGATCTGAAACTTTTTAAATTTGACGATTCCGAGGTTTGAATAATCTTCTTTCGGCTTAATCAATGAATAGGCAAAAAAAAAAAAAAAAGTTGAAGGAAATCAGAAATATAAGGAAACAGATTATATATTCTGCACAGTCGTCTCTGAAGTCTTAACCTTTGTGGGTAACCCTGTATGAAAATATGGAGAACAGTATAAGCTGGATAGGGCTGGGCCGGTATGAATTTAGTAGAGCAGTACCCATTCCTGAATTTTACAGATTGAGATGCTTTTGGTTCAATGTGAGATATTTTTTCGATAAAATAAAAACGAAAAAATGCGAAATTTCCCGAAAATACATTTTGCGGAACTTGTTTTCGCGAAAAAAGCGAAAAAATTCACATTTTTCGCGAGCGAACGAAATGCAAAAAATGCGAAAGTTTTGGCAAAAAAACATTCTTCGCAAAAAATGCAAAATTTTCGCGAAACGATTTTCCTTTTTCGCTAGAAACACTACCCTACATGCAAAGATAACAATTCAAGATTTACAACTGTACTACTAAAACATTAATGAGAACCTTAATCTGATCAAAAATGTTTAAGCTAACGCCATATTTTCTGACTCGGAAATTGTTAGTTTCTGTGAATTTCTTCATTTTTTCTAATAAGCAGGAAATACGCAAGTAAATTTTGCAGAGAAACCACAGCTTAAATAAATTTTATTTATACTTGATTAGACAAAGCGCACTGAATTGTAAATCAGGCATTGCCATCTTTGCACAGTGGTTCACTTGAAATTATGCGTACAGTCCCTTTAAGATAAAGAAAAAGATGTAAAAAGTAACTTACCTAGTCGAATGATGAGCATTCTCAACATTTGCTACAGATACTGTTGCATTTGATACTCTNGTACTTAGAGAGCCCGCGATTGAAAAAGTTCGGTAAATTAAGACTAAGACTAAGTTGCCATCAACATTGTACACTCAAGCTTTTGGATAAATTGGTATTGTATAGACAAAACAAGTATCCTTGTACTGGGTACACTAGGCGGGCTGGTATCCTAGTACTGGGTACACTAGGCGGGCTGGTATCCTATTACTGGGTACACTAGGCGGGCTGGTATGTATCCTTGTGATATTTATTAAATATTAATCTCCCTGTAGTACACTACAGCGTCCACAGATACAGTTACAGAATCCTTGGTCAGCACCTTAACAATTTAGGCAGTAAAGGGACTGTAAGCATAATTTCAATTGATCCTCCGCTGAAAGTGTGGCATGTCGGATTCCCACTTGTACCTTTTCATCCTTTATTTGAGTAATAATGAGAAAGATATCAATATGATAAAGTTGAATTCAATTATTTTTCTACATTTTTGTCAGAATCATAAATCTTATTAAAAAATAAAAACCTCAAATCGGATATATCATTTAAAGAGGGTGATCACCAATTTTAAAAAGTAAATTAACCACAACAATGATGTTTGCAAAAAAAAATTTCTAAATAAAAACTATTTAATTAAAATTTATTTTTGTAAAAAAGAAAAAAAATTCTTATTTTGTTTTTTTCCATTCCTTTTTCCCTAACCTCTCCCTTTCCAACCTAGCCTCTCTCTTTCTACCCTTCCCTTTCTTCCCTAAACTCTTCCATTCTTCCCTAATCTCTCTCTTTCTTTCCTTCCCTAACCTCTCCCTCTCTACCCTAACCTCTCCCTCTCTACCCTAACCTCTCCCTTTCTACCCTAACCTCTCCCTTTCTACCCTAACCTCTCCCTTTCTACCCTAACCTCTCCCCTTCTACCCTAACCTCTCCCTTTCTATCCTAACCTCTCCCTTTCTACCCTAACCTCTCCCTATCTTCCCTTATCTCTTCTTTCCTTCCCTAAACTCTTCCTTTCTTCCCTAATCTCTATCTTTCTTTCCTATCCTCCTCTTTCCTTCCCAAACCTCTCTCTTTCTTCCCTAACCATTTCCCCTTCCTCCCTAACCTTTCCCTTCTAATTCCTTAACCTCTCCCTTACTTACCTAACTTTCCCTAGTTTATATTTCTATTAAGTTAGTAAATTTATAGAATAGGTTGTTCCGGGGCCTTAGTTCTTAATCAATTAATCTACCTTAGATTAGATTTTCCTCTATCTATCTATCTATCTATCTATTTATCTATCTATCTATCTATCTATCTATCTATCTATCTATCTATCTGTCTATCTATCTATATATTTATCCTTTATTACCTCCTGTGGTGGTACTCCAAGGGTGATTGTTCTTAAATCCACTTTCTGATAAGACTCTATGCACGGAAGAACAAAAAATATTCCTAAAAAAAAATGCTGAGAAAACTTTCACCAAACTATCGACACTTCACGAAAAGTCAGTTTTTAATTTCAGATTTTCTCGTGAATCCCGGTAGAGCTGGGTACATTCTCGTGAATCCCGGTAGAGCTGGGTACATTCTCGTGAATCCCGGTAGAGCTGGGTACATTCTCGTGAATCCCGGTAGAGCTGGGTACATTCTCGTGAATCCCGGTAGAGCTGGGTACATTCTCGTGAATCCCGGTAGAGCTGGGTACATTCTCGTGAATCCCGGTAGAGCTGGGTACATTCTCGTGAATCCCGGTAGAGCTGGGTACATTCTCGTGAATCCCGGTAGAGCTGGGTACATTCTCGTGAATCCCGGTAGAGCTGGGTACATTCTCGTGAATCCCGGTAGAGCTGGGTACATTCTCGTGAATCCCGGTAGAGCTGGGTACATTCTCGTGAATCCCGGTAGAGCTGGGTACATTCTCGTGAATCCCGGTAGAGCTGGGTACATTCTCGTGAATCCCGGTAGAGCTGGGTACATTCTCGTGAATCCCGGTAGAGCTGGGTACATTCTCGTGAATCCCGGTAGAGCTGGGTACATTCTCGTGAATCCCGGTAGAGCTGGGTACATTCTCGTGAATCCCGGTAGAGCTGGGTACATTCTCGTGAATCCCTGTAGAGCTGGGTACATTCGACTTTTTTTCTTTTTGATGTTTCATGGTTCGTGAGCGACCCATTTAGTTTTCAAGCGTTCAAAAACTTAATTTTGTTCATTTTGTTCATTTGTTCATAAATTAATTTGAACATGGAAACCAGCACAACGACAAATGTTTGCAGGGGAAATTAGATTAAAAGTCAAAAAAGTGTTTTAACTTTTGTCAAACTGAATAAAAACTAATAAATGTCGGATGCTTTGATAGAAAATAGATATTCAAAATTTAAATATTTGACATATAATATCAATATAATATATATATAAATATATATCTATATGATATCAATAGAGTAGAAATATATCAAAGCTAAAATAAAGATTACTTCTGTCAACTCATCAAACTTTTAAATATAAATAGGATTTTTAGAAAATTCATAAATAGTAAAATATTAAAAAAATTAGAGTTTTCCGATATAATTCTGGGATGATCATCTTTAATATTTAAGCACACAATGAAACCTTATTTTATTGGTGACCTTTGCTTATTTTCATTAGAGAACCCCTATCCGTTTTCAATGAAGACTTACTATCCATTTTTTTACGTCTGTTTAAGGAGACCTCCCTTGCACCATATCCTCTAATTGGATTCACGCACTTAATATTGGAGACCCTTTCTACATTTTCACTGAATACTCCTTTTTCATTGGAGACCTCCAAATCCTTTCAATTCAAGACTCCTGTACTTTCTCATTGGAGACACCTATTCATTTTCCATGGAGACCCCTATCCTTTGATGTGAGGTCCTTTTCAAAGGCATTTTCCCAAGTCGCAACTTCAAAAAGTCTTCAATTTCCCAAGTTTTCTTGCTGCAGCGCTCGGCCTCTATTCTGTTCAAGCCGCAGCTCTCGGACCCCTTACCCACCCAAGCTCCACCCATTGCGCGTCAGAAGGGCAAATCTAATTTTTGGGAAGTTGCCATTGATCATGAAAGTAAGATTTAATATTCTCATATTAGGCTCATTTTGGTTAAATTAGTTTCTGTGGAGTATGAATTAAGATATATAATATTGCAGAAACTGAGCTTCTACTCTTGCAAGATTTTGTTATTTATATCTCACATTTTGTTTTCTAATATTTCTAAATTACAAAATTTTTGTTTGAAAACAACCACCAAGTTAGTTAGGGGTGTAAGCTGTGTAAAATATCTAGAACAAAATGTTCATAATTTCTTAATGTGTTCATTAGTTTGTAGCACATGTCAACTTAAGTTTATTTGAGGTACAAGTCCTAGTTGTACAGTACTGCACATAGAGACTTTATAAGGCAAAGGCTAGTACATCAAATAAATTAGCCCCTGCCGGAGAAAATATAGTGGTAGAGGATAAGATATCAAAAGCCTAAAGTTTATTAATTGTTATTTACAACTGCTTTACAGGAAAGAAAAGGGAATTTTACTTCAACAGGGGTTCCTGCAAGATCAATGTTGACTCGCTGCGCTTTGGATGTTTTTGATTGAAAATTGGCCGTGGCTAAGCAGAAAGTTCACTTTACCGAAAAAGTAAATGTACACATTTTTTTTCTTCTGAGATGAAAATGCACAAAGTTTTTCATGGAAACTTTGTAATAAATATCTGGTCACATGATATTCTGTAAACCTGCAGTACGTTGTACATTATTAACTATCTGTAACAAATACAGCAATCCCCATATTTATTAACCTAAACATACCTAGATATATTAACATGAGCTACATAATATGATTAAAACATGCATTGTGATTAGATTAAATACGATTATATCTATTCATGTTAATCCTTTAAATATGTGCATTCTACTTAAACTACGCTGTAAAAATATGTAGAGATAGCTTAACTACCTTATATCTACCCTCGCTAATCTTATAAATATGTAAATTGTAAATAATTAACATGATTGTCTTAATTGAATGTAATATAGATAATGACATAGGAATTGTAATTACGTCTATTAACTTTAACTTGTAATATATAAACCTCAATACATCAGTTAGAATAAGAACTCCACTTTGATTACAGTGTAGAGTAATTGTGTCCTTGTTGAAACAGAGGGGTTGAGATCATACCTCAGTATATGGTATAGATTGATTAAAAGCTTGTTTGATAGCTACACCTGTGTCCCTTGGGACATTTAGATCTCAATTAATAGCTTGTTTGATAGCCACGCTTGTGTCCTTGTGTGGCATTTAGAGCTTGATTTATTTCTTGTTTGATAGCTACGCTTCTGTCCCTGTGTGGCATTTGGAGCTTGATTAAAAGCTAGTGTCCGTATTGACACCGCTGGCCAACGAGTTTGCGCCAAGTGGTAGTCTGGGTTGACTTTAATAGCGGACGTGTTGTACCTGGACTGATATAGTTCGGGACAAAGTTTTAAGAGTACGGCATTTACTACAATCATATTTCAGTAATGTTGGTCAAACAGTGGTAAAAGTTTTTGTTACTTTATCAATCTATTTTTAATTAAGAACAGTGTTTGCTTTATGTGTGTTGGAAAAGTAGAAATTTATCAAACATTTCTATAAAAGTTTAATATTAGTCTCTATCAAAGCATGAAATTGTCACGTCAGACTAAAGTAAACTGCACGTGACATTGGAATCTTATACGTTCATATTAGGGTACTCCATTTGTATAAGAAATATTCAGAAAAGGTTATTGTATACGCGGTAATTGTACATCGGACAAATATTTCTTATTCAAATGAAGTACCGTCTGCAAAGCATGTATAATCATATGGTAGGGCGAACCGCGTCAGTTATATCTCCCTTCTATTCCTTACTCCCTGGTTAATATGTTTATCACACAAAAGTATAAATACATATATTGCAGCTTTATGTATGTATAGATATGTATTTAAATGGACTGTAGGTGTAAATTCAAGTGACCCTGGCATTTATAGAGGGCCATTCCCGATTCACATCGGTACACTTTAAATCTTCTTATTTTATGAAAGAGAAATCTGTGAGTTTATCTCTAAAATTGTATCCAAATTACCGGTAAGAGTGTACGATTGCGTACTCTGTAAACAAGAGTAATTTGTGAGTTTTTCTCTAAAATTGTATACAAATTATCGGAAAATTGCAGAGTTTATGTAAATACAAAACAGCTGACCAAAATTGCACCAACAGTCCCTTTAAAATTGAATATTTGAGCAGAGAAGATAATGTATTCCTTTATTCTAGTTCTAGCTTCACCACGTTGGAATTTAATTAACCTAATTTAGCATCAGAAAGTTTAAAGGGACCGTACTGGATTTGTATACGGGGAGTAAGAAGTGTGGAAGGGGGGGGGGGAATCTAATTATAAAACAATCGAATACATAGAATTGGAAGAAAGGGTTCTGGATATTTTGAGAGAAAGGGGGGGAGTGAAGATAGAGAAAGGGAAGAGGGTGGTGGAGGGTGGAGGGATTTGATTTAAATTTTGAATAAAGCATGAACCTTTGAAGTTTAAACTTTGTGAGAATTTCAACCAAAACAAAATTCTAAAACTCTATTTTATTTGATAAACTGTATAAATGAGATATTTATTATTTACTCTTCAAAATTAATAAACTTAATCGCTTTGAGCATGTTGGATTCCAGTAATCTGGAATGTCTGATTCACAAAAGTACACTTTGAGCTTTAGTTAGATTAAGGGTGAATGAAAAATCCATATTGAATATATCAAGTTTCATTCTCAAAAATACAAAACATAAATAACTAAACGATATTTTATTAAACTATTGTATTGATTAATACTAGAAACAAATGTATGTTCTACTTTTTATTTGGATGAAAAAAAATTCCAAACATTTTTGCTGGGATTGATATTTTTTAGTATTTCCCTTTCCAACAACCTTGTCATTTAATAATACATTTTTGTTAATTAAAAATACGTTTAATAAATGTAATACCAGAAATACTAAGTAAATACATGAAATCAAATATATCATTTCCGAAACATTCTTTTTATAGAAAAATAACTCTTAAACTTTATTTAAACTTAAAAGCAAAAAAATAAAACTTGAACTTTCATGTTTCGAACATTTCAACATTTTAATTTCCCGCATTTCATCAAAATAAAACCAAATATTTAAATTTTAAATTAAATTAAACTAAGTTGAATTTGTCATTCCATACATTTTTACTTACATTTGTGTATATACATATTCATTCTTTCATATATTCATTATTTATAACATTCACTTATTTATGCTATTGTTAACCATTAATCTTAAAACCTCTATAAAATGTCGTCTTCTACTGGAATCTCCTGTCGGAGACAGCCAAACCAAATTTTCAGCCCGCAAATTCCATTGTCCTCCTCCGACGGAGCTTAAAATATTTTCGTTGTTGTGAAATCATTAAAGTTAAGCAAAATATTTTCATAAGAAGCATAAGTGAATTTCGTTAAATATNGTACATTCACTTATTTATTTACTTCTATATTGATCCTTTTCACATATTCATTATTTTATTAGTGCATTCATTTATTTATCATTTCTATATTGATCCTTTTCATATATTCATTATTTTATTCGAACAGTCCATTCGAATTTTATCATTCATTTCTTCATTTTCTTATTCGATTATTAATATATATAAAAACGTTGCTTTTGCTGTTTATTTGTTTGTTTGTTTGTTTGTATACAATAAACGTCAAAGCGGCTGAACCGATCGGAACCAATTTTTTATAAGACCTCGCGCGACCCCAGGGAAGGTTTATGGATGATCGAAAATTCATACATTTGCTTCTGAGAAACTTCGAATTTTGAAAATTATAAAAATTCACGATTTTTAAAGTAAAATTCGCGAAATTTTTGTTTTGTTTTTGTTGAACTGTTCACAATTGAAATAGATGATTGGCGCAAAGTGCCCTAAAAGCCTAGTATATATAAATTTAGCTATCTCTGTTTGTCTGTCTGGTTGTCATTTTGCTTGTGTGTCCGATCATGGTTCACAAACTCCTTCACCGATTTGCCTCAAATTTTGATTTAGAAACTCGTTCATGCTTCACCATTATTTTGCATTCAACATTTTATTTCAATCTTGGAACAGACATAGGAAAGAAAGAATTAAGCTAAATCGAAAAAAAAAGAAAGTAATGAAGAAAGCGAAAGTAGAGGGGAGAAAGGCCGATGGGTGATATTTTCAATATCAAAATAGCTTTTTGATTTCTTTGCTATTATTTTTAAGATTTAAAAAAAAATCTAAAAAGCTTTTATTGTCTAGAAAAAGCTTGAGGATTCATTTATTAACACGACACATTTTCAAGGATTTAACAAGTTTTGGATATTTAATGAGGTTATAAAGGTCAGTAGGAAGTTGATTGATTGATAGAACCCACTCCCCCGGGCTTCACAGCCTTTCAATTAAATTAACTAGGTTTGGTTTACAAAATTCACTAAAAGAACCTTTGTAGTTAGAAAAGAAACTACTAGATAAGAAATCAGAAGGCTTTTCATACAATTTTACAAATTCTTTATTGTAAAAGTGCTAAATTAAAATTTTACACACTCAATATATGCTGAATCAAATACAGTAACAAAGTTGGGTTGCAAAAAAAAAATAAATGGGAATTACTTTAAATGTAATAAATATATATTTTTCAGGAGGTTTAAACTGTTGTACTGAATCTACTGATAATGTTTTCAGCAGAAGAGTTTATTTCTTGAAAAATCCCCCCCCCCCTCTCTTGAAAATTAGTTTCTTGTCCCCAAATTTTATCTTATATCTAGGTATTATTCGCTAAATATGAGAATACCAATAGTTTTTACTGGAAAATAGATTTATTATTAGGTACAAAGTTTCAAAAAGGTGAAAATTTGGATTAAGTGGAAGAATTTTTAAAAATACATACCCCTGACCTTTTAGAAAAGCATAAACAATGGTATCTTCTGGGATATAACTGTAGCAAATTGCCTTACTCCATAAATTATTCTCGAGACCGTATCTTTCCAGGTCTATCTTCTAAACAAGCTTTGTAATCAAAACAGGCTGGATATGAATGCACACAGGCAACTACTAACTCGTATAATCAATCGAGTACTTAGGCTCTATTTCAAGCTAATCAGGTATTACCTCTTATCCTTTCAACGAGCACCGATTCATTATCTGAACCAATCTATTTGTGCACAGTACTACTCACACAACTTAAGTAAGCTATCGGTGTCAAACGGACACTAGCTTAAATCAATGCTATCGATGTCAATACGGATACCAGCCATACAATCTCTACCAAAACAAAGGTATGATCTCAAAAGCTACCTCTAATGTCGTAACTATAACAGAGTATCCCAATCAACTAACTTATATCTCATATTATATGTCAATGTATAGGTTAGACGCAACACAGTTTATCATTACTGGTTTTGCATGTTAAGCACTAGGATCCAGACGCAGTCTGATCTAGTGTGATGTTGTTTAAACAATATTATCGCATTACAAAGAGTGCATATTTACACAGAATTCAATTGCGACATAAATGTTAAGAATCTCCTATTGAATTTTCTATAACATAACTTTATTCCTTTTAGATATCTCAGAAGCTTAAAAATTGGGCTTTTGCTTCAAGTATTTTTTTTTTATTTGAGGTGTTGTAGATAACCGCTTAAATTTAAAACATAAAAGTTTCGACCTTCAAAATCTTGTCTCAATTATTACACAAAATTTCTTTTTTAATTAAATTCCAACCTGTATTCAAAACAATCAAAAATTGATGCAGTGTGAACAATAGAAATGTGGAATAGGAAGAAGATATGTTAACTTATGTATATTCTTGTTATAAAGTAAATCAGTAGCTTCCAAATCAATTCTTCTTAAGTAAAATCTGAGTCCATATGCAAACATCATTACATGGATGGTTGGTTGGGCCCAACAAGTATTTCTGAGGGCCTAAGGTCTCCAGAAAAGAAGACAACCACCCACCCCAATATATATTAGAGTTTACCGGTTCCCTTGGATCCTAGTGAAAGAAGACGACCATCCAAATATGTATTTCTGATTATTTAGACCTTTAGATCCTTCTGATAGAAGACGACCACTCCAATATATATTTCTGTTTATCTGGACCCTTAGATCCTAGTGAAAGAAGACGACCACCCCAATATATATTAGAGTTTACCGGTTCCCTTAGATCCTAGTGAAAGAAGACGACCACCCCAATATATATTTTTGTTTACCTGCACCCTTAGCTCCTAGTGAAAGAAGACGACCACCCAAATATGTGTTTCTGTTTTTTTAGACCTTTAGATCCTCCTGATAGAAGACAACCACCCCAATATCTAATTCTGTTTACCTGGTCCTTTAGATCCTCCTGATAGAAGACGACCAAGCCGGAATATAACCGCTCTTTCGTATTCTTGAACCACCTGGATAGAAAATGTTTTAGAAATATAGAAATAGAAAAATTAAGAACTTTGTCTATATTCCCTTATCAAAATCTATTCAAAAGCCCCCGCCCTTTTCTGTGTTATCTCACATGAATTCATGGAAAATTTGTGAACACATTCCTAAATTAAAATATACTTATTATTGAAAATCCATTATTGATAACAGAAAAATCCACAAAATTTTTAGTTTAAGATGTAAGCAGAAAAAATGTCGGCTGAAATTAAGCAGGCTTAATTTGATACAGTAAATCCCAGTTTTTTTATAATATCTTATTACATATTTAATATCAAATACCGCGGAAAAATAAGTTTAATATTGGTATATTGCAATCATATTCAAGGGCAATAAATTTACATGAAATAAAAATAAAAATAAATTTCTTTAGAATTATCAAAAAACTTTTGACGGTCTATGTATTAATATATCTGGGATTTACTTTATTAAAAAAGTAATGGTTACCGGCATTATAAAATCCTATTTTCCATATGGAAAAGTTAACTTTTAAACTATGTATATTAGAAAGCTAATTCAAACAAAGTGCGGCCTCTCAAAGTATTAAAAAGTTTTAATCGAAAACAAACAGCTCTACTTTTGAATGGACAGATAGAAGATAAAGATAGATAGAAAGATAGATTGAAAGATTTATACGTAGATAAGAAGATATATGTTGAAGAAAAATAGACATAGAGATAGATTGATTAAATAGGTAGATAGATAGATTAATAAAAAGAAATAACATAAATTTTAGTAAAATACATGTAAGTTGTTCTTATCTATTATTTGAGCAGCTTCACTTGTAAAAAATAAAGATAAAAATCAGTTTATTGAGAGCAAGATTAAAAAAGTTGTTCAGATACAGTTAAAAGTTTTTCAAAGTTAAATACTGGTGAATACTGGTGAATACTGGTGAATACTGGTGAATACTGGTGAATTCTGGTGAATACTGGTGAATTCTGGTGAATACTGGTGAATACTGGTGAAAATCTGTGAAATCTGGTGAAAATACTAAAAAAAAGTTTGAATAAAAAAATGCAAGATATTGATGAATAAACAAAAACTTAAACGCAAGAAATACTATAAATAAATCACAGTAGAACACTTTTAACTAGAAACAAAATTATGAAACAGAAAACTTTCATTGCATTTTGTGTTATTTGTATCTGGTTTGTGATATGAATTTTATGTCATGGATGGTATGTGTTGTGAGTTATGTGTTATGTATTGTGAGTTATGTTGAGTTATGTGTTATTTGTCATGTGTTGTGAGTTATTTGTTATATGTTGTGAGCTATGTGCTGTATTTCGTGATCATTGTGTTATGTTTTGTGAGTTATGTGTTATGTTTCGTGAGTTATGTGTCATATGTTGTGAGCTATACGTTATGTGTCATATGTTGTCAGCTTAGGGCTGGGCGCGTTCCGACTTTTTTGAAATCATTCCTTTTCATTCTGGAGTGTTCCGTTCTTGTTCCTTTTTTTTCAAACGTGCAGTTCTCGTTCTGTTCCGTCCCGTTCCATTCCGTTCTGAGTAGAAGAAGTTTTTTACGACTTGACGGGACGCACAAAATAAAAAAATTTTGGGTCAAAATTGTCTTTTCTCACCCAATTATTAAGTGGGGGAGGGGAAGGTGGGGTCAGGTGATCAAATCAAAAAAAATCTTTTAATTATTAATTTTTTCTAGATGATCTAGAACACATTGATCAGAGAAATGAAAAATAATGGTTTTTACAAATGAAACGAAATAAACAAACAACTAAAAATCGCTCAAACAAACTTGAAAAAACAAATGTTGTTTTAACGAACGAATGAATTTTCCAAAAGGTTTTGAAAACAATGATGGTTTTTTATTGAACAAACGGTATTTTGGAACAAATTTATGAAAAGACTATAATCATTGTTTTACTGAACGAACGATTTTACTGAACAATCATCAAGTCAGAAAACAAATGATATTGATAGAAAATAAAGGATAAGTTTGAAAACAAACGAAATCAATTTTTTTAAGCGATTGAAAAAATCTAATGGGTTGTTCATAAACGATGAATGAACGAAATAAAAAAGTTGAACGTGCCTATCTCTACTCTGAATTTCATCCTTTGTGAGTTGTAAGTTGGTTCATTTTTAAAGCTAAACATGCAATTTCAAGAATTGATTCTTTGTCACAAACTCAGATTTTCTAATACCTATATCTTTGCAAGCCTATGTCGCAGACCTTAGATATTTCAAACTATGAATTCTGTTAGTTCAAATAGCCTAAGTATGAAATATCAAGGGTGTCCGCCATCAGGTTTCCAAGATAAAGGGATTAGAAAATTTGAGCTTTTGACAAAAACGCATTTCCTTTTATTAGAAAACAGGCCCATCCAAGTTGCCTACACCAATTTATTCTAATTTAGCGCTAAAATTACATTATGGCTTTTTTTGGCATAAAACTTAAGAAAATTAGCAATTTAAGTTTTCCCTCCCGGCAAACTTTGCAAAGTTATCAGTAGTGTCTTGAAGTAGGGCTCAAGAGAAGAGGTCTGGACCATGGAGGTGTAATATGAAGAGGGGTCTGGACCATGGAGGTGCAATATGGAGAGGGGTCTGGACCATGGAGGTGTAATATGGAGAGGGATCTGTTCAGTTTCTGCTTAATTTATTACGTAAATTTTGATATGAAGATGGATGCCAATACCAGATTCACAATAGTGTCCTTAAAACTGGTTGTTTCGCTACTTAGCGATTTCCCTAAAGACCTAATATATGTACCACACGGTTAATACTTGCAAGACAAATAAACATATACTGATATAAAACTATTCACTCCTCCGCGAGAAATCTTGCGCCTGCGTAGTCAGTCTGTAAACAGTTCCTAAACTAGTTCTTTCACAATACGTTCTGTACAGATCTTCAGGGAGAACTCAGAAATACACAGGGGTGACAAGTAGACTTTATACACGGAGCATGGCTCGCGTAACACTGGTGTCTGATAAAGTATACTTAAGATATCAATGTTTATGCTTAGTAAACTGATAATTTTCAATTATACTGCGGGAAAACATATAGAAATTAACAGTAATAAAACTTTTAAATTTATAAAAACGACAATATCTTCTGCATTATTGATCAGATAAAGGTTTTAAAGGTACCCTTGTGAATCAGACATTGCCATTTTTGCAACAAGGGAACAACGCTTACGGTTCCTTTAAATGTGGTTTGTTTATACTTAATATTTACATTTTATTAAACATAATTTGGTTAGAAGGGAAATCAGGAACAAAACAGATCATCTCTCCGAATATTACTGCTCTGTGGTCTAAAGTTTGCAAATCTTGATATTTTGGCAAACTCATCAATGTATATTAACCAGAAACAACCTAAAGAGACCCATTAAAGAGAAAGATTGCAAATCTTAAGACAAGTTTGTTCACAACATAAAGAGACCTATTAAAAAGAAAGATTGCAAATCTTTAGAAGTGGTTGTTCAAAACATAAAGAGACCTATTAAAGAGAAAGATTGCAAATCTTTAGATATGCTTGTTCACAACATAAAGAGACCCATTAAAGAGAAAGATTGCAAATCTTTAGATATGTTTGTTTACAACATAAAGAGACCCATTAAAGAGAGAGATTGCAAATCTTTAGAAGTGTTTGTTCACAACAAAAAGAGACCCATTAAAGAGAAGGATTGCTAATCTTAAGACGAGTTTTTCACAACATAAAGAAACCTATTAAAGAGAAAGATTGCAAATCTTAAGACGAGTTTGTTCAAAACATAGAGAGACCCATTTTAAGAGAAAAATTGCAAATCTTAAGACGTGTTTGTTCACACAACATAAAGAAACCTATTAAAGAGAGAGATTGCAAATCTTCAGAAGTGGTTGTTCATAACATAAAGAGACCCATTAAAGAGAAAGATTGCAAATCTTTAGATATGCTTGTTCACAATATAAAGAGACCTATTAAAGAGAAAGATTGCAAATTTTAAGACGAATTTATTTAAAACATAAAGAGACCAATTAAAGAGAAAGATTGCAAATCTTAAGACGAATTTATTTAAAACATAAAGAGACCCATTAAAGAGAAAGATTGCAAATCTTAAGACGAGTTTGTTCACAACATAAAGAGACCCATTAAAGAGAGAGATTGCAAATCTTAAGACGAGTTTGTTCACAACATAAAGAGACCCATTAAAGAGAAAGATTGCAAATCTTTAGATATGCTTGTTCACAACATAAAGAGACCTATTAAAGAGAAAGATTGCAAATTTTAAGACGAATTTATTTAAAACATAAAGAGACCCATTAAAGAGAAAGATTGCAAATCTTAAGACGAGTTTATTCACAACATAAAGAGACCCATTAAAGAGAAAGATTGAAAATTTTAAGACGAATTTATTTAAAACATAAAGAGACCCATTAAAGAGAAAGATTGCTAATCTTAAGACGAGTTTTTCACAACATAAAGAGACCCATTTTAAGATAGAGATTGCAAATCTTAAGACGAGTTTGTTCAAAACATAGAGAGACCCATTAAAGAGAAGGATTGCTAATCTTAAGACGAGTTTTTCACAACATAAAGAGACCCATTTTAAGATAGAGATTGCAAATCTTAAGACGTGTTTGTTCACACAACATAAAGAAACCTATTAAAGAGAGAGATTGCAAATCTTAAGACGAGTTTATTCACAACATAAAGAGACCCATTAAAGAGAGAGATTGCAAATCTTAAGACGAGTTTGTTCACAACATAAAGAGACCTATTAAAGAGAGAGATTGCAAATTTTGAGACGAGTTTGTTCACAACATAAAGCGAACTATTTTAAGAGAGAGATTGCAAATAAATGTTTTAAAAAGGTTGTGCAGGTTCAACCGTATGTTTTTAGAATATAAAAGATTTGTAAAAATGTTCAATCTCATTTCCATCAAAGGTTTGTGTTAAATATTTATATGATTTTTATTATTTATATTATTTTATCTATGATTATATGATATAAATATTTA